TTTTTACAATCAACTAATTATCGCATATGGATGCTTGTTAAGGATGGTTATACACCTCCAACAAGAAAATTGAATGGCGTTACTATTCCACTTCCTTTTACTAAAAGGACTCTAGAAGATAGGGATTTAGAACAATTAAATGGAAAATATTTGAACTATTTTTTCTGTTCTTTGAAATTAGAAGATTACATGCGTATTTCCACTTGCACTACTAGTAAAAAAATTTGGGATAAATTGTGTATCACCTATGAAGGTACTAATGAAGTTAAGCAATCCCGTTTGAATATTCTCTGGCATGATTACGAACTTTTTTGTATGAAACCTTTTGAATTGATTTATGAAATGTATACAAGTTTTACTCAGATTGTTACTTCATTGCATGCATTAGGAAGAGAATTTTCTAATTATGAAAAAGTAAAAAAAAATTCAAGATGTTTGCCTTCCTCTTTTGATGCAAAAATTACTACAATATTTGAATCTAAAGATTTAAATACATATCCGATCGATAACTTACTTGGTTCACTCATTGCTTACAAGCTAGGGGTGAATCAAATAAATCTTGATGCAGGTGAAAGGAACAAGGAGAAAATGGTGGTACTTAAGGAGAATTTGTCAGACATTGACTCTTTCTGGTCTAAAAGCGATGATGTTGCTTTAATCACAAGGCAATTTAAGAGCTTTCTAAGGAAGAAGCGCAAGAATCATCAAAAGTTAAATAAAGGTAAGGATAGCAAAAATTTTAAGAATTCTAATGATATAGTTTGTTTAGAATGCAGGAAGCCTGGGCACATTAAAGCTGATTGTCCTACGATTAAGGCACACCCAAGTAAGGAGAAGGCTGAAGAAAAACCAAACTTCAAAAAGGACAATAGCAAGAAGTGATTCCAAGAGTTATTCTGGGCATATTCTGCATTAGATTCCTCTAAAACTGAACCTGAAGAGGAGACAACAAACTTGTTCTTAACGGCAGACAATAATCTTGGTCAAAGTGACCAAGAAGGGGTATGTGAACCAACTTATTATCAATTATTAGAAATTTGTGAGCATATGCATGCATCATATAAAAAACTCAAAAAATCTCATGTTAGTTTGAAATTAGAATTTTTAAATTTGCAAAAAGAGCATGAAAATATTTTAAAACAAAATTCTCAAATTGATAGCAACCACATGGCTTTACTTGATGAGTTTGACGCATTAAACAAAAAGCACAATGAATTATCTGATGCACATGATTTTATAAAATCAACCCATGCTGAGTAAGAAAAAGAATCAACAAATCTCAAAGTTTTTGAAAATAAACCATTACATGTTTTTAAAAGGAAGCATCACCATAGGAGTAGATTAGTGAATCCTTTTCCTAGACTTAGATATTTTTCATGTGGCAAGCTAGGACACAGCACACACTTGCACCATTCACCATAGCTCACATTGGGTCTGGAGACCCAAGTTACATGATCCACAGCATGCATTACATTCTACTTTCCAAAAGAAGGAACCTAAATATGTTTGGGTTCCTAAATCTAACATTTGATAATTTTGTAGGCAAGCTCTCATAAAAGGCATCGTGAGAGCATGTGGTACCTGGACAGCGGATGCTCTTGTCATATGACTCGCGATGCTAATCAATTCATATTGATAGAGACCAGGACATGAGGCAAGGTGACTCTTGGAAACAACACCACCAGGAAGTTGGTAGGCTCAGGTATAATTTGTAATTTCAAGAACCTTTTGATTGAAAATGTTTTGCTTGTAGATTGACTGAAACACAACTTTTTTAGCATTAGTCAGCTTTGTGATAAGGGCTTCGTCATAAAATATTTGGCAAATTCATACACTATGAGCTTAAATAGTTACACTGTTTTGCAGGGAAAATGGATCAACAATGTTTACATGCTTGATTTAAATAACATTGAATGTGCTGCTTCATTTTGCTTAAAAAATGTTATTAATAATTCATGGTTGTGGCACAAGAGATTATGTCATGCTAGTATGAAAACCCTTAGGAAAGTGACCCAAAAAAGACCTAGTTAGAGGTGTCCCCAAGCTTAAGTTTTCAAAAGACTAACTTTGTGATGCCTGCAAATTTGGAAAGAAAATCCACTACACTTTTCACTCCATTAAGGACATTAGCATCCCTATACCTTTAGAAGTCCTTCACATGGATTTGTTTGGACCCGTTAGTACTGCCAGCTTGGGAGGGAAGGTCTATGGTTTTGCTATTATCGATGACTACTCGTGGTTTACTTGGATTAGATTTCTGTCACACAAAAATGAGTCATTTGATATTTTTAGAGCCTTCTTCTCTTGGATTTAGAAAAAGCTAGGTTGTGAGATCTTGACCATCCATAGTGACCATAGTGAGAGTTTGAAAATGAGAGATTTGGATATTTTTGTGAGGACAAGGGGATTAGCCACAACTTCTCAGCTCTTAGGACCCCTCAGTAGAATGGGGTAGCTGAAAGAAAGAACCAGCCTTAGTGGAAGCCGCTAATGCAATGCTTGCTGAGTATTCACTTCCAAAATAATTTTGGGCTGAAGTGGTTAACACAGCTTATTATGTGTTGAATAAGTTGAATGTTAGAGCCAAATTAGATAAGACACCCTATGTGTTCCTTAAGGGTAGGACACCCAATCTTTCCCGTCTTCATGTCTTTGGTTGTAAGATTTTCATTCACAATAATAGGAAGTCTAACTTAGGAAAACTTGACCCAAAATTTGATGGAGTGTTCTTAGGATATTCTAGTGCTGTAAAATTCTTTAGTGAGTTTAATAAGTGGACTTTGGTGGTGGAAGAAACTACTCATGTAGAGTTTGATGAGTCTGATCCTAGAAATCCTAGAGTTGAGGATAATGATGATGTTGGAGAGATTACCACTGGAGTAGAAAATTTAGATAAGAAGGCAGAGCACTAAAACACCGAAGGAGTACGAGAGGTTACCCAAGTAGTAGAAAAAATAGATCTAGAGGAAAGGGCTGAACCTTCCCACACTTTGCCTAGAGATTGGAGATACTCTTCGAGTCACCCTAAAGATCTGATCCAAGGAGACTTTTCTGATGGAGTTAGGACTAGACATGGACTTAGGAAGGAAGTGAACCACTCTGCCTCTATCTTAATGATTGAACCCACCAACATAAACCAAGCCCTTTATGATGAGTTTTGGATCTTAGCCATGTAGGAGGAGTTGAACCAATTTGTTAGGAATGATGTTTGGGAGCCTGTAGAAAGACCTAAGAGATAAAGTGGAGTTGGAACCAAGTGGGTCTTTAAGAATAAGGTGAATAATTCTGGAGTGGTGGTTAGGAATAAGGCAAGATTAATGACTAAGGGGTATAACCAAATAGAAGGGATAGATTTTGAGGAGACTTTTGTCCCTATAGCTAGATTGGAAGCCATTAGAGTGTTATTAGCCTTTTCCTGTTATACAGGATTTAAGCTTTTGCAAATGGATGTTAAGAATGCCTTTTTAAATGGGGAAATAAAACAGGATGTGTTTGTAAAACAACCCCAGGTTTTGAGAGTTCACAATTTCCAAATCATGTTTTCAAATTAAAGAAGGCCTTATATGGATTAAAGTAGACACTCAGAGCTTGGTATGAGAGGCTTAGCACATTCTTACTAGAAATGGAGTTAGTTAAGGGGAGTGTAGACACCACCCTTTCCTGAGGAAAGTAGGAGATGATTTACTCATTCTTCAAATCTATGTCGATGAATTAATTTTTGGATCTTCATTTTTTGAAAAAGAAATGCAATTATGCATTAAAAGGAAAATAAACCCCTTATTACAAACTACTCAAGTAATGCCTAAAGAATCACATTCCTCCTTCAAGAATAACAAGAATGAAGGAGGAATCTCCTCAATGCTAAGGTCATCCCAAATAAAAAAAAAAAAATTTAAAGCCAAATTAGCACAAACATCCGCTAATTTATTACAATCTCTATTGGAAAAAGAAAAGAAAACTTGGTTGAAATCTTGTTGGAAAGCCAAGTTATCATCTATTATTCTACTAACCTTCCATGTCTTCACTGCTAAATGAAGAATTTTTATAATATTGAAGTTATCCCATTCAATAATTACTCCTTGAGCTTCAATCATCCAACCTCGAATGATAATTTTCAAGTAGAAGATAGCCAACAATTCTACTTGGGCAATGTCCCAATGCAAAAGATGAGCTCCAAATGCTAGCAAAAATCTCCCTCTATCATCCCTTGCCACACCTCCTAATCTAGCCACATTATTATTCATAAGAGAGGCATCTACATTTATTTTAATCTACACGGGTAGAGGAGGATGCCAAGAAGAAAATAGCTTGCGCTGGTTCACATCCCGATTTTCCAGATAGAAGTTAATAAAGTTGCATACTGTAGCATAAAAAACTGCATTTGCAGCCATTGCATGAACCGAATCTTTTATGCCTCCATTTATCAATTTGCATCTGCTTTTCCAAACTAGCCAAGCAGATGTACAATATATATTAGCAATGAAAGAATTCTTGCCAACAAACTTCTATAATCCTTCCACGCAATCTGAAAGATTATCAAATATAGGAACTTGAAAACCCCATCTATTGAGAAGAGAAATTATCGTTTGAAACTTAGAGCATCTCCCTGCAATATGGTAGCTATTTTCTTCTTCTTCACACCCTCTCGGGCAACCTGAGTAGTTACTTAGTCTTCTTCTTAATAAAAAAATCATTAGAAGGAACAACATCATTACAAAGCCTCCACTAAAAGAGTTCAATTTTCGGTCTCAACTTTAATTTTTTCATCCAAGTCCAGTGAGCATTCTCTCCACTATGCTCCATTACTGCTTCAAAATCCAAGGTAGCAATAGATTTACAAGATAATTTTGATTTAAGCTCCATATAATCATTACTCCTTCCAACATCAATAGGAATTTGGATTATAAGTTTTACCAGCTGCTCCCCAAAGATTATTTGTAGCTGATCAATATTCCCCTGCCCTTCCGAGATGAAGAAGCTATGATTGAACTCTGTTGCTTCTAGACTGTTAACAAAAGTCGCCACTTTTCTAAGCATTTGTCTAATATCCATGAATCAAACATCCAATTGATAGAGTTACCATTAGAAACATTCCATCTAACAATGTTTCTAAGATAATTAGCACCCATAGTAATGATCTTCCGTGTAGGGGAACAATCTTTTTTCACTGGTACCGTCCAAACATCTCCTCCATATTTTGCTCTCAGGATTTGGTTCAGCAACACTCTTGGCTTCATACAGAAAATCCATGCCAACTTTGCCCGAAGAGGTCCTACCTTGGAAACTGCCGAGAACAAGCCTCGACCATCATAATTCTTTGGCTTGCAAAGACTTTCCCAAGAAGCATAATGCAATCCTGCACTTCCATTATTCCTACTCAACAAGAATCCTCTAAAGAATTTATCAAACTCTTTAAGAATACTCAATGGGACTAAAGAAAGAGAAGATAAAAACATAGGTAATGAGAGGAATGCAGATTTGACCAACACCAACTTTCCTTCCAGAGAAATGAACTTTTTCCCCCAAGTGTTCAATCTATTAGCAGCAACTTCCATTAGCTTCAGGAAATCCGAAGCCACCAATCTTCTCAAGGTCATCTTCACACCAAGATAATTCATCTCCTTACCAATCTTGAATCTAAGAAAATTTGAAATTTTCTTCTTCATGTTATGGTTAGTATGCTTTCCAAAAAGTATCATGGACTTAGATTGATTAACCTTCTGACCCAACCATTTACAATAGTTGGTAATGATATTCTTCAATTCCTTTACCTTTTTCATCCTGGCTTCTAAGAAGATTAAAATATCATCATCATAGAGTAAGTGAGACACTCTAGGAGCCTTGGGAGTAATAGAAATTCCCACATCCCCTTTTCTAAGATATAATACATCTGATAGAATCTGGCACATCACTTCTTTTGAGATTATTGGATTTTCTGATTCTGATTTTACATGAAGCAAGGTGGATAGAAAAAGAACTTCTAAAACTTGCCAATTTCTACGACAGTCTTTAGTCTCCTGGTCTAGTAGAAAGCAAAACTCTGTTGCTCTTTTCACTACTGAAGCTGAGTAGATTACTTTAGGAAGTTGTGTGGCCCAAGTTCTTTGGATAAAACAGCAAGTACTGGATTTAGGATTACCTATAGGCACCATCTCAATTCTTTGTGACAACTCTTATGCCATCTGCGTTTCTAAGAATCCTATCCAACATTCAAGGACTAAGCACATTGACATTAGGCATCATTTTATTAGAGATTATGTGACTAAGGGAGACATTGAGTTACACCATGTGGCAACTAAGGATCAACTGGCTGACATATGTACTAAACCACTAGCCTTTGATACTTTCAGCACTTTAAGGACTAGATTGGGTGTGATTGACATTAATGCATGAACTTGATTTCTACTGATTTTCTGATTTGTTATCTACTGAGTACCTTACTTTATTTTTTAGTTTTTTGTTGTCTATTCTTTTTATAGATGTTCCTCTTTGTTTTTACTTTATTTTTTTTTCTTTAATTTGTTTTCTCTTTCAAATCATTACTGAATTGATATCTTATGCCTTGTTTTTGTTTTTTTTTTTTTGAAAATTTATAGTCAATGTTTTACATCTCTTTAATCTACTAAAGGTTAAAATCACTATTGATTGTGTCTCTTTCTCTAACCTATTTTTGTGGTGAAATTTTCCTTTATAAACAAAAGTCTAAATCAAACTAACAAATGGATTTTGCAATTGAGATCTTTTCTACCTTGCTACAGTAATCTAGCTTATATTTATAATAATCAAAGTTTTTTTGTTACTTTAATATTTCTCTTTATCTTATCAATGCTGCTCTCATATAATTTTTTATTCTATTTTGTGGTTTATTCTTCCCTATATTATAGAGTGAGTTTTTATTCTCTAATATCTAGAAAATATACGCACAACTAAGAATATTTAAGAGTTTTAGGAAAAGAATTTAGCTTGAAAAGAAAAATAACCAATGATGCCAAAAACAAAAGATACGCAATGATTCCAAATTGAAAAAAAAATTATTATACACAAAGTGTATCAAAAATAAAAAGAAGCGCAAATTGCGCCATTCATTGGACAAGAGGCACAAAATAAGCCCATCAAAAGCAAGCTATCTTCCTTTCTTCCAACTCTTAAAACTTAGAAGATTTCATATATCACATGAGATTTTTAAGGATTTGATTTTGAATTTTGCGATTTAACAAACTACTTTGATATATTATTTTATAAGATATTTTTCTGAAACTAAGTCTTAATCGGATCTCTTTTTCTTATCCAAATGTTTTTTTTTTGAGTTAGGCCTTTTAACTTCAAAAGAAGATTTTGACCTAAAAGAAGTCCGAGCTTAAGGTTAACATGATCGGATATTTTACCATTTTTTGGATTTTTGAAGTTGTTCACTCATTAACTTACAAATTTTTAAAATCAATCACATGGAGATTATATCATGTTCATGCCTTTATTAAATATAAAAAAAAACTTTTTTTTTATGGCTTTTATTTTATCGTTGTTATTTTTTGTTGATCTTATTATTTTTGGGCCTTCTCTGATCATCTCCATCCTTACTTTGATTTGAAATTTTTTGTCACATCATCCTGGTCGATATTTTTATCGTTCTGGACGATCATCTTTTTCTTGCTTCAAAAACTCAATCTGCTGAATATTCAAACTTTTCTACTCTCATCGTCTTGGATGATTCTTTATCGTCCTAGACAATATGATCGTCCTCGCTATAATCATCTTGATCATCCTGGCTGATACATGTTTCATCCTGGACGATGCATTTATTGTAATCGTCCAGTCTGATACACATGTTCATCCTAGATGATACACGTGTCAGTACATTTAAAATCTTTACAATCGCTCGGGATGATCCTTTTTGGACAATCATCCTGAACGATCCACTGTTCGTCCTGGAAGATACACATTGCGCATGTTTTAAAATGTTTAAAACTTGATTGGTATGATCAATTATTGAGCATCGTCCTAGACGATCCACCTAATCGGCCCAGACGATATGTTTTTTCAACGATCGTCCAGCCTGACCCATTGGAATGATCGCCTATGTCTAATCATCCCGGATGATATATAATTGTCCTGGATGATCAGATTGCCTTTTTAACCAATCATCCTGTTCACAATAATTGCACTGGATCGTCTTGGAGGATCCTGCGATTCGCCTGGATGATCTGGCTGATCCATTAAATTGAAAGCCTTCCAGCCAATGTTTCTCACTTCAATCTTCTTCACCTCTCTTACTTTGCTTGCTAATGGCTTACAAAAAGCGTGCTTGTCAGCCATCTGGTAGCTCCTCGAGGGGCACACTAGAACCTCATTTTTGGGAGGCAGACGATCAGGCTTCCAGCCACCGTTATAAAGAGTGCAGCATTACTCTCCCGAATAATCAATCCAGCCTACCTCTCCTATCTGGTACTGGAACTTTTCACTCACACCTCTCTTTGCTTTATTCTTACCCTCATAGTCCCCTTTAGTTCTAAATTTTTTTTTTTTTGAATTTTATGCAAACCTTTGCATAAATTCTTCCTACACTACTCTCACCTCTTATGTGAATAGACGTCCTGTCAAGATCACATATCAGAATTGTGCTGAACTGTTGCATATATCCACCATTAGGGATAAGCCGCATACCCTTATCTATGATCCTGACTTTGACTGGTCCACTACAAATCACTTTCTTCGCCACACCAACACACACTTTCATGTTGGAGAGACTAGCTCTTTACTCAAAGATGTTAGGACAATCCAGCATGTCCTTCTCACTTCTTTTATTCCAAAAGCTAGGGATCGAGTACGCATCACTCCACTTTATTCACTTAATACCTTTTACATTCTGGCACATAGAGAGTTTAATGCCACAGACATGATCTTTTGCTATATTGAGCATTTGACTACAATCCGCGATCCAGGTCATTGAAGAAAACACAATCTTGCTCTAGGACACATCATTACATATGTTCTAGAATCCAAATACAACCTTCAATATCCTGCTCCTCCTAACCATCCACCACCCTTCTACTCAAACAATTCCTTCAATGTTCTTCAAAGTACTCGTCTCCACCCAGGGGATGGGGAAGCTCAGGGGGCCGAGGAAGAGGAGGCTCCCGCTTCTGTTCTTGAACCTGTTCCTCTTCGACAACACTCTCAGTTGGATCAGTTGGTGGAGAGATTTGATCAGTGGGAGGCTCGGTTCGATGCCTATGTTACACACTAGTAGCAACAGCACGACCAAGACATGTCCTGGTTTGGGGCATAGTTTGCTACGTTGTTTAGTTTCTTCCAGCAGTCACCACCACCACCTCCATCTGATGATCAGGGTCTCTCATTTTTCTAGTTTTAGTTTTAGTTTTTTGTAGTTTGTTTTTCTTATGTTTTGTTCTAGTTTCTGTTATGTTTTTTATTTGTGTTTTATTGTGTTTCCCTCCTTTTTGTGATATCAAAAGGATGATCCTTTTTTGGGTTTTTTTGCCATCATAAAAAAGGGGGAGATTATTGCAAATCTGAGTTTATGGATTAGACTTTTGATGATAGCAAACATTCATGATATCCTACGACTGCCTTGCCTACTAACTTTTCAAGTCCACAAGATCGAGTACAACTCAAGGCAGTTCAAGATTGGGTAGATTTAGGTTGAGTCAAGTCTATATTTTTTCCTTTCTTGAGTTAATTATAAAAGTGGTTTCTATTGTTAAGTAACCTTGTACACACACACTTGAGGGTTTTCCTGTTATTTTTTATTTTGAGAACATCGGCCATGATGATGACCATATCGACCAGGATGATCAGACTAAAAATAAAAACCCTAATTAAGGCATCTCATTAAGGTATCCATTATTAAGCAAATCATCCTGGACAATCCCTGTATGGGCAAGGATGATAGGCTTAGTTAAGAAAGAATCAGCCCCCATGATCAATCTAGGTATTCTTTATTTTAGGGAATCGTGTTGGACGATCGCAGCATCGGCCTAGACGATGCAGCATAATTATACCTAAATTAATCTTGTAATTATGGAAAGAAATTAAGGCTGATTGATACGATAAAATCATCCAGGCTGATGGTAGTATCAGCCTGGATGATGTACTGGACGATTGACATCGGCCAGAATCTATTCAGGGCGATGTTCAGGATGATTTTCCTTGGATTTGAACTAATCGACCAGGACGTTATGGTATCGTCCTGAACAATGTAACAAGTTTTCTTTTGATCATTCCAAATCACACTGGCTGATTAAGCTTAATTATTACTAATATTACATAACAATAAAAATATCATCCTGGATGATAATGTAGGTTCTCAAAATTCTATTTAAAGGACCCAAATTTTCTCATGCTTAAGACCTTGAGAGCTGCTGTCTTGACCTAAGAGGGCCTTGGGAGAGGGAGAGAGAGAGAGAGAGAGAGAGAGAGAGAGAGAGAGAGAAATTTATGCTGTCTTGACCTAAGAGGGCCAGAGCCTTGGGAGAGAGAGAGAGAGAGAGAGAGAGAGAGAGAGAGAGAGAGAGAAATTTATGAGGGGGTGTTTGGGTGAGGGTTCACAAAGGTTTCTCCAGGCAATGTTCCAAGTCGTCATCTCCATTCTTTGTCCATCATCCTTGGGAGGTTCTTCGGAGGTCTACTTTAGCAAAAGGTCCGGGTTCTCTGCCCGCTTCAGGAGGAAGAAAAAGGAGTCAATTCTTTGTCGCACCGGGGTTGGTGAAAAGGAGTCTGTTGTAAAGGCTTCTCTACCTAGCTGTGGGAGCTAAAGAAGAGACACTTTGTACAATACTCGGAGGGTGCCTACGAGGAATGGACGTAGGTCAAGGATTGACCGAACCACTATAAATATGATGTGATATTTCTTTATTTTACTTCTGCATTTATTTTCCGCATTTGCTACTCT